CCGTTACCACCCGTCGACGAAAACACACCCACTTCACAGGTTCCTATACCCCCTATCCTCGGCCGCCTGACAGCCGCCGATCTCCCCTCCACACTCATCGTCTTCGACGCCAACATCGCTGGACTCCCTGCTCGAATCCTTCTTGACTCTGGCGCCTCACGCAACTTCATAGCCAACGACTTCATCAACCGCTCCCACCTCCGTCCCGCCAATCTCCCACCGTCTCAAGCCTTCCGAGTCCGCCTCGCCAACGGACACCTCGCTCTCTCTTCCGCCGCCCTTGCCAACGTCCACCTCTCCATCCAATCCCATCATGAGCTTACCACCTTCTACGCCTTGGACCTTGACGGGTACGACGCTATCCTTGGTAAGCCTTGGTTAACCCAGCACAACCCCAACATCGATTGGCAGACCAACACCGTCACGATAGGCAACACACTCCTTTCGGGCTCAACCCCCCAGCCACCCATGTTCGCCATCGAATTCGTCTCCGCTGCCCGCATGCAGAAATGCATTCGCCAAGCCAGCGCCCGCCCACCACCACCCACCGCCTCCAATCCTCGCAAACGTGGCCCCTTTATCCAACCGCCACCAGTCTACCTCGGCATCCTCCGTCCCCTCGATGATCCAGAAATCGATCCCGAAACCCCACCTCAACCCACCGCCTCCATACCGCCGGCTCCGCCTCCTCTCCAGTCCATCGATATTCCGCTGTCTTCTCCGAACCTACTGGTCTCCCACCGTCCCGCCCTTGCGATCACCGCATTCCCCTCGACCCCGACGCCCAACCGCCGAAGCAACGCGAGTACCGTATGTCACCGGCAGAGCTCCAAGAGCTTGAACGACAGCTCAAGGACTACCTCGACAGTGGCTGGATTCGCCCGTCTACGTCGCCGTTTGGCGCTCCAATCCTGTTCGCCCGCAAACCCGGCGGCAACGGACTACACCTCTGTGTCGACTTTCGTGCAATCAACCAGCTCACCGTCAAGAACGCGTACCCGCTGCCTCGTGTGGACGAGCTCCTAGACCAGCTGT